TCTCTGTGCTTGCCTAAGCAGGCACTTAGTCCACTGATCTGTCTTGCTGGCTCAAATTTTTTTTAATTAAGTCCTAGTATAGTATATCTCCTATCTGGCTTTTTCGGGGACAGGTTGGTTTTATTTATGGTTTTGTTTGGTTTTCAGGGACATTTTTGGTTTTCCATATACCATAGTTTTATATATACATTGTGATTTTCTGTTGAAAACTGACTTTAATGTGGTAAGTCTGAAAATCAGATTCTCGCTATACCCTTACCTGTGCAATTTTGTTTTTTTGTTTGTTTTTCTTGTTACAGGTTTACTCTGTTCAAAGGATCATCTTAAGGTGTTAGTTTAAGGCATATTCTTAGCCCATACCTTCTCCTGGTATGCACACTTTATGATTTCCCCTACATAATTGGTAATTCTGATATGTCAGCTTTACTAATTTTTGATAACAATTTCTAAAAGTCACTTAGCAATCAGTATTTTTGGTGGGTTAAGACACTTGGATGGTGCTGCACTGCTGTATGAAGCAAGGCATTTGGTGTTGTTTGTAATGATAATGCAACGTCCTGTCATGTGACATTACCGTAATACACTTACCTACTTCCTTACAGATGACTTTCAAACTGTTGAAGATAGTTATATAACAGTTTTTTCCAAAAATAAATTTTGTCCTACATTTCTTATTGTTTCCAAAAAATAGTTATAAAGATATAACCAGTTGGGGTGTTTTTCAGCATCTTCCATACATACTGTCACACTGTGTTCTAGAGCACTTTCACCATGATATACTCACACCAGCATTAGGTAATGATGGTCATCGCACTCTCATGCAGGTGATGCTTTTCAGGCATTTAACAATTTGGTAGCTTGAAAATTATGTCTACTTTATTTGTATTTCTTTGATTATAAGTGAGGCTGTATCCAGTACTTAAGTGCTGTGGTTGTGGCATAGATTTCATCTTTGTGGTCATTTACAGGCATGTGCAGAGCAGGGCAAACTCTGAGTTGCTTGATGTGTGTGTTTCCAGCTGAGGTTGAACAAGACCACACTGTACTCTGTCCTTGTTTCCCTCAGGGGCATTGGTTCTTTATTCACTACTTTAATGTTTGTGGTGACTTTTATAGAATGTAATTACTATGTATGATGAAAATGAGTATTTTTGAGGCAGGCATCGTGGTGGAGGTAATAACCTCCTCCTTTTCATGATGGAGGTTATTTGCCTTTTTGCCTTAAGAACTACTAATATGAATATATTCGTAAATTTTTTTCTCAGACTGTGTTTCCTTCCTCTTACTCTTCTCTTCCTCTTACTCCTTCCTCTTACTCACCTTTATTAAGTGAAATAAGTTAGACTCACAAGTTTAAATACTGCATGCTTTCTCTCTCTCTTTTTTTTAGTACCAGGGATTGAACTCAGGACTCTGTGCTTGCCAGGCAAGCGCTTATTCTACTGAGCTATCTCCCCAGCCCCAAAGTTTACATTCCTTTCCATTTTCCATAATACTTTGATTAACCCAACCTTTAGTTGTTCACCAGCTAGGAAGAATTTGGCTTTTTTTGTTTTTGTATTTTAGGGAAGGGTTGACAGGATGTTCAGGGTCTCACTACTAGATCAGACTCTAGTGATCCACCTGTTTACACCCTCCCAAGAGCTGGGATTACAGGCACAGGTATCACGCCCAGTCTCAAAATGTCATCTCAGCACACCCAGCACACCTTGGCGGTGGGGCCAGCACAGCAGGCCCCGGGGATCAAACCCCAGACCCCTGCACCTGCCTACAGTTGCTTTAATCTGCTGAGCTATTTGGCCAGCTCCAAGCTCTCTCTTATAAGAGAAACCTAAAATGTAAATAAAAAGTGAAATACAGTAAATGACAGATAATAGGAAGTAGGTCTTTCTCAGATGGGAAGGGAAATAAGATAGAAGGAGGGAGGAGGGAAAGAAGAGAAAGATTTGAAAAAGAATCAAATTGTACACCTGCAGCTCATCACAATGTAATAATTGTGTACTACAAGCATACTAATAACATTTTAAAAATATTTATTTAAAAAAGCCCCAAAGTAATAGTCTGTGTTGGTTTCAAATTACTCTTTTGGTGTCAATGAAATGATTGGCTGTAATACATCTAGAAAAAAAGAAGTAAAAGTAATATCAGGGTTACATCCTAATCTAACCTTGGCTTTGTTTTTCTTTTAGGGCCTGCTGTCTTTTCTGAGTGCCCCACTCATAGGCGCTCTTTCCGATGTGTGGGGAAGGAAGCCTTTTCTCCTTGGCACGGTTTTCTTCACCTGCATCCCAATCCCACTGATGAAGATCAGCCCATGGTGAGCAGCTAAGCCCTGCGCTCTTGTATCAGTGTGTTTTGGGTCACATATAAATAGACAGATTGGACATTGGACCTCCCTAATCCAAAATCTGAAATGTTCCGATCCAAAACTTGAAGCACTGACGTGAAAATCTGATCTTTCAGGGTACACACTTTGTTTCATGAACAGAATTATTTAAAATTACTTAACATGTTTCATCATGTTACTTTCAGCCCATGTGTATAAATAATGTGTATGTGAAACATGAATGAATTTCTATTTAGGTTTGGGTCCTACTCCAAAGATATATCATTACATGTTATGATTT